GGTTGAGATCACATACCTGTAACACCCTTTCATACCTCGCTTGATCAAACGACTTTCCAAAGAGAATGTTATCACGTACTGTTCCAGTAAATATCCAGGGAATTTGACTGACATATGCTATTTTCCCAGTGACAGAGATCTGACCAGATGTCACGGGAACCTCGTGCAATAACGCCATCAACAATGTAGACTTTCCGCTTCCAACACGCCCTGTCACCATGATCAAACTATTGGATTTGACACAAAGGGAAATATTGTGGAGAGTTGATTCATCTTCGTCCCAACCACTGTTGGCGTTAGCCATGTTTATACTTGGAGGACCCTGGTCATTATCATTCCAAAATGGTACCTTWACTGTTAAGTTGGGTTCTTCAACATCTTTCAACAGCGTGTATTTTGGAGACTGCTTACGAAATGGTGCCATTTTAGTTGCTTGAGGTATTTGTCCTTCGTCAAGAGTTGGATTACTCTGTTCATTGTTCAATAGAAAAATCTCAAGTCTCTTTATTGAAGAGAAGTTATCATAAGAATAGAGGGTGGATGTAATCTGGGTCATAGTTGAATCACCGAAGTTCTGAAGAATTGATAGCAAAACGAAGAGCTGCATAGCATCAAGATAAAATCCTGATAATATAAGAGTAAAAACTGATGTTGCTATTGCGAATATGATCAGAATGGTATAGAGGAATGCTGTGATGGACAAGAAGAACGTTTTAGAACGAGCCAGCTTCATTTCTTTCCTAGTGAGAGAAGTAGAAACATATATTAGATCTTGAGTATGTTTAATTGTATTACAGTGATTGGGTCTACACAATGCATTTGGTTGTCACCCTTCCTGTTGCTCATTGCAATAGTTTGTTAACTTTTTTTCCATTTAGCTTTTATCCGATTGCCCCTTCGAAAAGTGACTGTCGATGAATATTTTTTCTTTTATATTTTCGTTTGCGAAAAGCCTCATTTTCTTTAGCAGAACTCCTCACGATATTTGAAATAAACAAAATTGTTTATAGACTGCTTACAAATCCTTACATAGTTGATTGTAAAACAATCACTTTGTAAATCGTACCCTATATGATTGAATTCTGCAAATTTAAATGTTATGAATAAACGTTCATGATTACCTCCTAAATCCCCTAATGATGTCCAAATAGCTCCACTCCCAAGCGTGCATCTTAACGGTTCGTATGCCTTTGATGATCTCGTTRACAGATGAGAGACGTTGATCTGTTGCAGATGCTTGAAGAAGTCGGTAATACGCAAAACCCTTGGACATGAAAATTTGTGAAATCGCGCAAATGATGACAAAGAAGGCTCCAGATATCGCTTGCCATCTAATGAGAGTACAGAGCAAGGCAAAGGTGATTGGAGCTGCAATAATCGATGATATGCTGTATTGTACATTTTGAACCATGTCTATTATTCGTGGAATGTCGTTTGACACTAAGTTGAACACGTGACCTGGTTTATCACTTGAAAGTTGGACACGGCTTGATTTCAAAATCTGCATCAAAATAGATAGATATCTTAATGCCATTAACACGAATTGCACAAACACATAACAGATCAAATTTTATGTCACAATCAAATTATTCTTATTTATAAAAACTCGAACAGGTAGAAATATCTCGTTAATTTGAAAAGAAGCTAAAATTGTCCTAGGTATTTTAAAATGTAAAGTCCTATAATTATTTTGATCCGCTCATGCATGTAGACAAACACGTCATCATTGCATGCCCACCTATCTGAAAAATGCTTTTGAGGTGTTTTTAACATGGAGACCAAATTTCAAAATCACTAAAAATATATGGTTAAGAGCGAGATTTATCGCGTTTGTAGGTTTATGACTTTGGTTTTTCAAAACCCTCGTGTTTGGTTTGGTGAAAAAAATGTCGCGCTTCATATCATACACTTAAAACACATCATAATTGCAAATTTTATTCAAACAACATGGTTATCCGAGAAAACCATTAAATTAATTCTTAAAAAAAGCATTTACGATATCTGTTTGAATATTGTGTATTTTTTTATTTCTGTTGTTTGCTTATAAACATTCCCTAAGTTGAGAATAGTTGTATGCATTGCATATTTTAAAAGCTCTATTTTTCCCACATGAGACACTCACATCCGGTTTCACTTCACTAAACATAAAACGTGATCATTTGACAAAGATTAGTTAGCAGTACATAGTTTCGTTTGTTTCTTACCTTTTTGTGTATTAACCCAGTACAAGCAATAGAGAGTCGCATTCCCATCATCTTTGAAATCAAATGGTTTTTATGTCTAAAGATGTAAATGAAAGATATCCCTCCAATACCGACCACTCCAGCAGCAAGAAGATGTTGCGTGTTTTCTATAGATTTACGTTCTTGTAACGTCTTCAGAAAGAACCATAATATCACAGGCTTACAATAAACACTGAGTGTTTCTAAAGTTCTCCAGAACACTAACGAGAAATAGTCACTCCAGTGAAAGAATCGAGTCATTGTTTTCCATAGTCGTGGTTGTTTCCCATGGCGTTCAGCAGAGATGATCTCTTCTTGCCAAACTTCTTCAAAATCTTGTAMAATGTATTCTGCTTGATCTTCGTCGGACAATTCAAACAGGTCATCTTGTGTTAGTTGTCGTTGACTGCCAAGTCTTAGTAAACTGTATAACCAGCAGATAAATAAACGGGATAGTATGTTAGCGTTTTCTTTTGGATTTGCTTTCTTCTGCATGGCTGGTCACGTTTTCATTGAGATCTTTCAATAAGCCTTTTTCCCGTTCAAAGCGACCGCTGTTTTAGTACTCAACAGACTCACTTGCGTAGAGAACAAAAGAAAGCACGAAAAATGTTGACATGACAATAGCTCTAGAAATTTAAATCTTGTACAATTTGAGGCTAAGCCTGTATTGCCACAAGACCTAGACTTTGAGCCTTTGAGAAAATGCAGATTTGTAGTGATATTGTAATGACAACTTATTCTCGTGCTTTCTTTTGTTTTTAGTAAGGGTCTCTGCGCACGAGAGACTGTTGTCAACTAACGGTTGCTCGCTTTGAACGGGAAAAAGGCGTATTCAGCAGCAGCACCGACAAGATGTTCTTTTGGATTGCTTAGATAGCTATTGTGAACTTACTTGATGACAATTGAACTACGCTACTGCTTTAATTTCTGATTAACCACAAGAACAAAAACAATCGCCATCAAAGGCGATCAAGAAGCAAATTGCTCACGGTTTTGAGTTGTATGTCAAAGTCGATGATCTGCTGGATATCAAAAAAGCACGCCTCATGCTCATCCAGTAAAGACAAGATAGAATACCGATCTTGTTCAAGTGAGAAAGAAACCACATGGCTGCTCAATGAGGTTTTGCAGATTTTAATAAAATATTGCACGGGGACTGATAGGGGACTGATGCATCAAGATTTAAGCAGATATGATATATCAGATGTACGTAACATTAAAAGATATCATGTTTATATCGAGCTATTAATGAACTATCACAACAATGGGTTACATGTCAGGTTGATAAATACACTAGCTTGATTGGGCAATAGTTTGTTCAATCAAAATAATTTGGCCAGCGTGGACCGAACGGGAAAATGGGAAGTATTTGCATATTAATGAATAGCAACAGGCCGCTAACTAGAATCACGTATTGGCCACCTTGATTAGTGTGTATATGCGGCAATTCTGTGGCACATTATTTTTGATTAGAATGAATGAATGGTTATCCACTATTCTCTTACTCAGAGCTCAAAGACTTCATTGATAATTTAATCTAATTAATCATATTCTTAGTCGATTAAAATGGAATTATAATCAGCACGACGTTCTACGTATAACACAAGACAAAGTTTTTTTAAAGTGGGCATGTCACACCACAGGTAGCCCAAGCTCTGTACTTTTAAGAATATCTAAAATATAATAAAAATAAACACCTCTACCTCTGTAGCCGTGTGGTTTTCTTTACATTTCTGTGAAGTTTCAGGCCATTTCCTTCAATTTTGAGCGATTTATGGCTGTTGTTCTCTTATTATATTTTAAAGATTTCCTAAAAAGTACACAAATGCCTAGCTTGGGCTACCTGTGATCACACTGAAGAGTATTTCACGCGTTACAAATCTTGAAAACCATTCTAAAGTCCCGCTTACAATTGCGTGTTTTCAAAAATCTTTAAAACCTTTAAAACGACATTAATCTTGATTTCAAAGGGATTGCAATTAGGACAGCTTGGGAACAAAACATACGTTTTCCAATGGAAATCAAAGTGTTGATTATGAATATATCAATAATCAGCATAAACGGTCCAAATGGTCGAGAGGCCTTTTACTCAACCCAAAAGGACTTATTYAAAAGTAGCCACCGATATGCAGAAAAATCCCAGAGAAAGCGCCAATATACTTTCTCGTTTATTTTTTCTTTGGATAAACAGTTTATTA